AAAGAAAGCAATAGATCAGTCACACTATAGAACTTTAGTCACCTAGCTTTTCTGGTAAATATTTCATTTAAAACTCAGGGAAAAACACATGGGTCAGAGTGCTTGTAATTGGAAATTGCACTCATGTGCAAGTTCCTGCATATGGATGTCTACTGGGTGTTCATGAGAACAACTGGGAAGGACTTCCAAAGTACATTCAGTGGTGCAGGCTACATGTAACAATTGGTTTCCAGTTGGGGGCAGAAATGAGATCCTTTTGTGTTTTCCCACAAAAGGGAAAGCCTTTTCTTTTTCTTTTTTTTTAAGATTTTTATTTATTTATTGAGAGAGAGCATGAGTGAAGAGAAGGTCAGAGGGAGAAGCAGACTCCCCATGGAGCTGGGAGCCCGATGCGGGACTCGATCCCGGGCCTCCAAGATCATGACCTGAGCCAAAGGCAGTCATCCAACCAACTGAGCCACCCAGGCATCCCAGAAAGCCTTTTCTTATCTTACATACAAAGCCAAAGCCTTAAGCTGTTGGAGGATGGGGCAGGAAACAGGTCTACATTCAAGAGTGCAGACAAAATATCCTTTGCTTCTCAGAGAGGGATAGAGGCAAAAATCTATTCTCTAGAGGGCAGCCCAGGAATTCTTTTGTGCCAAGATCCTTCACTGACACAGAGCAGAAGTCTGCTACTCTTCTCCTTAAGAACCACCACAGATACAAGTTAGAATTTCGTTCCATGGAAAGAAGTGGGAAGAACATTAAGAAAACACTGCCTTCAAAGCCCAGGTGCATCAAGCCCATCTAAGACAGCAGGGAAATCAGTAGAGACTGCCTACTGCCATCAAAAGATTAACACTGAGAAATAAGAAAAAGCAGTCTGTCATGAAAGTCTGGTTTAGAGCAAGACTGCTTTGTGGTGCAAGCATTCAGTGACTGCTGAAAATTGAGACTGACTTAGGAATCCTAAGAAAACTCTTGAGCACCCCCAAACAGTATGCTAAGGAATGTGAAGGAGTGTGAAGGGGAAATGAGAAATGAGATGCCTACTTTTAAAAAAAAAAATGCAGTTCATCCACTGACTAGATTGACTTAATTACCCACACAACATGCTTATAAAAGGAGGGTTTCCATTTCAAAGTGGAAGTAATATTAACTGTAATCTCTGCTATTCTGCCACACATCATGTCCAGTATTTGATGAAAAATCAGAAGGCATATCAAAAAAGAAAGAGAAATCAACAGAGTCATATTCAGAGATGACTACAGCAGACTATTAGAGACCATGAGGTAGCTATGATAATATGCTGAAGCATTTTACACCAGAGGGAACGATATAGATGGATAGGTGAAGAATTTCAGCAGAGATGGAAACTATTAAAAAAAAAAGAAAACATGTAAATGCTAGAAATAAAAACCATGGTATTAGAGATGAAGAATTCCTCTGATGGGCTGATCAGCAGACTAGACACAACTGAAAAGAGAATCAGTGAATTTGAAAATAGTTAATAGAAATTACCTAAACTGAAATGCAAAGAGAGAAAAAAAAAGTGGGGGAGGGGAGTACGACAAACATACAAGAGTAAGAGATAATATGAAAGGGTAATTGTGGTCTAAAAAAAGGAAAACCAAAAAAGAGAGAGCAAGCAAGCAGGGGAAAATATTTGTATAATAATGGCTGAGAATTTTACAAAAGTAACAAAAATCAACAATCCACAAATTTAAGAAGTTAAGAGAACCTCAAGCAAGATAAACATAAAAAATAAATAAATAGGGGTGCCCCAGTGGCTCAGTGGGTTAAGCCTCTATCTTCGGATCAGGTCACCATGTCAGGGTCCTGAGATCAAGCCCTGCATCGGGCTCTCTGCTCAGCTGGGAGCCTGCTTCCCCCTCTCTCTCTGCCTGCCTCTCTGCCTGCTTGTGATCTCTGTCTGTCAAATAAATAAATAAAATCTTTAAAAATAAACTAAAACAAACAAACAAACAACACATGAGGACACATCACAATCAAACTGCTAAAAACCAAAGATGATAGAAAGCCTTAAAGGCAGCCAGAGAAGAAAGAAATATGAAATACATGGGAACAAAGATAAGATTTCTGGTCAGAAGCTATTTAGAACAGAATATAATGGAATAACATTTTTAAAGTGGTAAAAGGAAAAAATTTTGAGCCCAGAATTCTATACCCAACAAAATTATTTTTTTTAACTGAAGGCAAAATAAAGACTTTTTTCAGACTTACAAATTTGATATTAGCAGCATATCTGTACTACAAAAAAATGTTAAAGGTTAAGGTTTTTTATAGAAGGAATATGACACCAGACAGAAATTTGAATCTCCAAAAGGAAATGAAAAGCATAAAAAATGGTATACATAGATAAATAGATATTTTTAATTTACAATCACTTTGAAATATGACTATTCAGGCAAAAATAGTATCAATATACTGTGAGATTTATAACATAGTAGAAATAAGCTCTTTGAGAACAGTAGCAAAACACTTTGGAAGAAGGATCAGAAATACGTCTAAGGTTATTACATTCATAGCATCACTTGAAAGTAGAATGTGCTAAGTTAAGAATGTATATTCTAAATATTAGAAAAAACCCTAAAAACATCAAAAATGGTTTAACTAATAAGCAAATAGTGGTAATAAAAGAATCAGAAAATACTGAATGAACAAACAAAGGCAGAAGAAGATTTAAAAAGGAACAAAGTTCAAATAGGACAAGTCAAAACAAGTTTTAAATCCAATCATATTAACAATTACATTAAATACAAATGCTAAACATCTCAATTAAAAGGCTGAGGAAAGGGGTGCCTGGGTAGCTCAGTTGGTTAAGTGACTGCCTTTGGCTCAGGTCATGATCCCAGGGTCCTGGGATGGAGCCCTGCATGGGGCTCCCTGCTCAGTGGGGAGCCTGCTTCTCCCTCTCCCTCTGCTGCTCTGCCTGCTTATGTCTCTTGCTCTGTCAAATAAATAAATAAAATCTTTTAAAAAAAACAGTTAAAAAGAATGGCTGAGGAAAAAAAAGATCTCATACAAACACTAGTGAACATAGAATTACAAGGGCTATATTCTTCAGGAAAAGTAGACCACAGCAGGCAGTATTTCCAAATACATTACATAATGATAAAGGGGGTCATTTCTTCAAGAAGCTATTAACAATCCTAAATGTCCACATGCCTAAGAGAGTTCCAGAATAGATAAAGCGAAGACCAAAAAGATATGGATGAATGGATAGCCAAAGTTGGAGATGTCACTGTTCATCTCTGTAATCAGTAGAACAGAGATTTTAAAAAATAAAAAGAATAAGGATTGAGAAGAGCCAAACAATACTAACCCACCTGTCCTAACTGGCCTTTACAGAACACTCCACCCAACACCAGCAGGGAGACACTCTTTCTAAGGGCACAGGGCACATCCACCAAGATGACCATATTCTGTACCTTAAAACAAGCCTCAGCAGTGGAACAGAATTGAAACCACAGAAGCAAGTCCTCTGACCAAAACAGAACGGAACTGTAAGCAAAGCTACGGGGCATTGTGATCCCACGGGATGCCAAAGCCGAGAGCACACTGGGGCGCTCGGTCGGCTCTCGCTCCCCCCTCTTACCTGCAGCATCTGAAGGCTCCGAGGTTAATGGAGGGGACTCACAGGACGGAATCCTGCAGTGCTCCCACCTCACCTCACTGTCGGTTGTGTAACACCATGGGGCTGATTCTCCATCAGGGTTGCGACAGTAATTTTCAACCAAATCTCTAAAAAAGAAGTGGTCGTTGAGTTTGGCTTTCCAAACAGGCCCAAAGAATAACGGTGCAAGCACGCTTATTCATGGTAAGACTGGGGATGTATCCAGCCGATTCTGCAGATTTACAAAAACCTAATGACAGGTGGAAACCAAAGAGGAGCGGGATCCCACAGGGTCCATGGCATCACGGCACTGACGCTGTCTGCTGGTAAATGATGGGAATATATGCCTTGACTGTGGGTAGTCAAGCAAAATCTATCTTTCGCTGTGTGCTATGTGCTCCGCTCCATGCTGAAAGCACAATGGGTATTTTCCACACCATTCCTGCCTTAAAGAGGACCCATCAGAGCCCTGGAATTGAAGTGTTCTCAAACCACACTGTGCATTTAGTGGAGGGCTTCTCGGAACATATTGCTGGGACCCACTCCCGAGTTTCTGATTTAGTAGATCTGGACAGGGCCCAAGAATCTGCATTTCTAACAAATTCTGCTGATGCCAATGGTGCTGGTCTGGGGAGCGTTAGAGGAAAATCTTTGAGAATGAGTATTAGAGGAAAATCAGTGCAAAATTTCACCCCCCTTGCCGGTGACTTGGCCAATTTTCATTCCAGAATACTTGGATGTGGGTTCCTCCAGGAACAAAACCAAGGCCACATCAGTGGGATTTCACAAACCATTCAGCAGGCAGGGACCGGGACCAGAGGCGGACTTACTTGCAAGGGAAGTTTTCCGGGGTCCTGTTGTGCTTGTGAGGGGTCTGTTCACTCCAGCGCTGACATGTATGTCCAGATACAGTGACGGACACCGTCCCCCGGTAGCTCTCCCCTCTGCCCTTCAGACACTGATATGTTGGGCCAGAGGAGGGTGGCGGTGTCGCTTAGGGGTAATACATTACAATGAATATTTTTACAGTGAAGAATGCACAAACAGATGTTGTGGGGGAGTGCATGCAGGAAACATCTTCTGCTCTTCCTCCCTTAGAATCTGGGACTTGAAAACTGTCTACCATCTCCAGAATAAATTAACCTGGTAGAAGCTTTGTTTATGAGATCATCTTATGAGGAACTCCTCCCAGGACAAGACCCTGGGAGCAGATGCTTCTTTCTGTATTTTCTCTGCTTAGTTCATCATAGATGCTCAGGGTCACATATACCAATGATACAACTTCCTTTGTGACGAATCCTAAAGGAGAATACGCGATCACCTTCAGAGTCCCAAAGGATGATTGTCAGATCAAAGAACAGGAAGCCACCATCAGGGTCTCCTGCATCTTTTTAACTTTTAATGTCTGTCCTTGTCTAAATGTTGAGTCCTTCGTTACAAATTCTCACAGAAGGAAAATATAAAGTTGTTCCTTCCAAGTCATTCCTTCCAAGTCTCCCTTAACGCTATTTTCCTGCTATTTTCTCACAACTCACTGAAAAATGCACATCCAGAGAAATTTCTTTATTTCTAAATAAAGCATCAGTTACAAGGAACTCTGATTGATATGAAGTCTGTGTACCTGAAAGCATGGGTCTGCTGCCCTTTAGCACTAGAGAAAAGCAGGATATCAGAGCTACTTCCCCCAAACCTACATTCAACTGTACTCAGAATAGGCTGGAAAAACAACAACAAATACATGACCAGTAGGTGCTCTGATCAGTTACCTAGAGTAACTGCTTTAGAAAAGCAATCACCTCCCCCAGGATGTGGAGGGTAGTTTTCAGGCACAGCACTCAAGCACGGACTCAAAGTTTGCATTTGTTTGTTTTTTGGGTTTTTTGTTGTTGTTTGCTTGTATGTTTGTGTTTATTCCAAGGAGAGAACAGGTGAGGATGCCGGAGCACTGAGTACATGCCATACTTACTGCAGCGCGGGATGTCACAGAACTCCCAGCGTTTGTTGGGATCCGTGGTGAAACACCACGGGCGGGGCTCCCCATCAGGGTTGCGGCAGTAATTCATCTTCAAGTTCTTGTTCGGAAATCTGAATGGGCAAGAAGGATTTTAATAGCACTGAACATTTACATTTAAGACTAGGAATCACTTCAAATGAGCAAATATTGAGCACCTGCTGTGTGCAAGGTACAATCAGGCGTCCAAGGAAATGACTGGATGTGGGCTATCTCAGAGAGACAACAGTCTCATTAAAAAGATCAGCTCAATATTCTAAGGGCCCTTTAAGAGTTTACATATGCAAAAATCACAGAACTTTATCATTTTGGCCATCTGGAAAATTAATGGAAGCGAACTCCAGTGATTTAGTTGGAAATGACAGCATTTTTACAACACAAAGTATTCGTTGACCAGGGAAAGTCATCTAATACCCAGTATGGTCAAGAAGTTGACATCTTCATAACTTAAAGGGATGGTCCTTCTTGTCTGCCAGGTTTTAGCCCTGCCAGCCTTCTAGCTTAGAGAAACTGGGAGGGATAATTTTTTATAATTTCTTTTTCATTTAAATTCAATTAATTTCATTTTATTTAATTTCACTTAAATTCAATTAATTAACATACAGTGTATTATTAGTTTCAGAAGTAGAGTTCAGTGATTCATTTAGTCTTACATAATACCCAGTGCTCATGACTTCTAAACTGGGAGGCATAATTATGCTCCTGTGAGCACCTGGCCAGATAGTATGGCAGAGACCTCAGCAGGGACCCAGTAACTAAGACTGGCACAGAAGGCCTGTGGCCCTCTCGGACGCCATAGATATTCATTCGGGATGGAGAGCACAACCGGCAGTGGCTTGAGCAAGGCTCTTCTAGTCTCTGGAAAGTTAATTTACCCAGTGTGGGCCTTGAGGACTTTACCCTACTTCTTCATTGAAGGAAAATGGCAAAGCTGTGTTTTAAGCTAGCTCTATGAAATGGGAGGTACAGAAATTCAGAGGAGCTGGTGAAATCTGTGGCTTGGTCCCACTTCTTATGAGTTTTGTAAGGCCCACTCTATGGTCACAGAACGAAGACTGCAGAAGAGACATTTTCCAGTACAATTAAGGTCCTCTACTGTAGGAATCATCATTACTTTCTAGATCGTGGATTATGCCTCCTACTATAAATTCATGGTCCCCTTTAAAGCTCTGCTGGAACTTGGGAATCCTTACCCCAGAAGAATGCATGGATATGTCCATTTATACATAAAACATTGGGGGAAGTCACAAAATCCCTAAAGCCCATCCACAGATCACACATTAGGAAGCCTTGAAACTCATCAGTGTAAAGGAAAAGGAAAGGAATAAAGAGAAGAGGGAAATACTCAGAAAGAAATACTCAGAAGTGAGATGTATCCTTATTTCTCAAAATTTAATGTGCATATGAATCAGCCAGGAATCTGTTTATAATGCAAATTCAGACTCAGAGGCTCAGAGAGTCTGCATTTCTAACAAACTTGAAGATGGCATCACTCCCCATGAACCACGTTTTGAGGAACAAGAATGTATACCACACTTGCAGTCAGGTGGGAAGATACAAATTTTGAAATTCAAAACTTCAGATGCGTTCGATTCCCGAGGAATGCGAAAATATCCCACTAACATTAAATGTCCCACAGAGCCGCATCTCATTTCTTTCCCATCGAGACTTACTTGGAAGGAATATATCCATGAGCATGGGGGGTTTGGGAGTTCCAGGCTTGGCACTTGAGTCCAGACATGGTCTTGGAAATCTTGCCCTCGTAATTTTCCCCACTGCAATGCATGCACTCCTCTGCACAGAAGATGAGAGGAGGAAGAAAAACTGAAATGAATGAATCACAGAAGAGTAAACCTAGCAATGTCTCAAATACCACCTGCAACTTCATTTGTCCTTTTCAGAAATCGCTTGGGAACGAAATTGGCTGTAAAGGCTCTTCTAACACAATCCAAATTGTTGTTCCCTATTCCAATGGTAAAACCAGCGTGTTTTGGTCACTACCTTCTGTTATAGTCATGACTTCATCCAGAAATTCCATAATGCTACCTCCAACTGGGATGCGCTGGCCCTTGGTGGGTGGGAGGGGGATGGGGAGAAGGTGCATAAGTCTCAGAAATCTGAGACTTCGATTGTCTTTGTTTCACTAGCAACCTTTAAAGACGTCTATGAAATCATTCTGATCATGAGGATGATGGTCTCCCAGGATTTCAGGGCTTGAGTTTTGGTTTGTGCCCACAACCTCCCTGGGGACCAAGACTCCCCTAAAGGGACAGTGCCCCTCTTCTCCGAGGTGTTGCCTTCTGCGTATCTGTTACATGCAGTGAACTGCAGTCCGGAAGATGATCCAACTGCCGTTAACATCCCTATGCCTACCACACTGCCCTCACTTCCTCTCAGCACGTGGGCATGTTATCATCTCTCATCCCCACAAAAGAAGGGAGAATACAGTCCTGTAAGACATGGCAGTAGGGAGACCACATTCACATAAGCTCCATTATGGCACGCTATCATCGTCATTCTTTGTCCTCAGTTATTATTGCTAATCTCTTTCTATGCCTAACTGGTGAATTCAACTTGGCTGTATGCACTTAGAGGGAAAGGAAACCATGGTATCTATAGGGTTCTGTACTCTCTGCAGTTTCAGGCAGCCATGGGGGTCTCAGAACGTGTCCCCTGCGGATAACGGGGAACTCCTCTACTGAGAAGCATGCCTGGTTGTTTTTTGCTTTCTTACATTATTTAAAAACTGCAACTTTGGTTTTGGAATTATTGGAATAACGTGGTGCAGCAGAGGAATAAATGATTTGAACTTTTTTAGGTACTAATAAAGGAAACCGAGTTGGATTGATACAAGCCTGTCCTCTAGTGTGGACTGAGGGCCGGATGACCTCACAATACCGCACACCAATAAGGCATCTGAGGTTGAAACAAAGACGGGAGACCTGAGCCGTCGCCTGGTGCGAACACTATCCACGCCGTTGCACAAATTCCACCCTCATCCTTCCCCTTTTCTGCCAATAAATGTAGCAGAAAATATGAAATGAAGAAAATTTTTTCAATAGGAGGTGTTTAACATTTTTAGCATTTACTCTCAAGGTACACTATTAAACTGGTTCGTGAAGACAATGGGTTGCTGGTTTAAAAACTGGTTCATTGGGTGCCCGAGTGGCTCAGTCAGTTAAGCATCTGCTTTCGGCTCAGGTCATGATCTCGGGGTCTGGGATGGAGCCCTGCATGGGGCTCCCTGCTCAGCAGGAAGTCTGCTTCTCCCTCTGCCCTTGCTCCTCCGCCCTGCTCATGCTTTCATTCTCTCTCTGTCAAATAAATAAACAAAATCTTGAAAAATAAAAAATAAAAACTGGTTCATTGCTTAGCTTCGATGAAAAGCAAAGTCTACCACATTCAATTCATACATTTATTTACATTTTATTGACTCTTTGGTTTCATTAAAAAAAAAAACTTATTTGAGAGAGAAAGAAAAGAGAAGGAGGGGGTTAGGGAAGCAGAGGGAGAAAAACTCCCAAGCAGGTTCCTACTGAGTGGTGAGCCTGACGCAGGGCTCGATCTCGGGACCCTGAGCTGTAATCAAGAGTTTGCCAGATGCTCAACTGACTTGCACCATCCAGGTGCCCTGATTTGGTGGTTTCATTTTAACTACTGAATTACAAGTCTGTTTCTGGCTTTATGCCATATAAGAACTTTAAGCTTAAGAAATTATATCTAGAATTTCTATCTAGTTGATTATTTGTACATATCAATGTAACATTTTAATGAAATAATTAAGTTCAAAGAGAAGAAGGCCTGAGCAAATTTTCGGTCTTTTCTAAGAGGTACATACCTCACACGATTTTGTCAAATGTGTCCACTAGTTGGTTTTTAACGATATCCCTTATGGGAATCACTTTACAGCAAATTATAGATAAAGAGCAGATGTGCAAGCAGTTTCTAGAGGTGCGCCTGACCTTCACACTCTGGAATGTTGCAGTAGTCGAACCTCTTGTCTGGGTCTGTGGTGTAGCACCAGGGCCCCTTCTCGTCGTTGTCGGGGTTCCTGCAGTAGTTCTCCTCCAGCCCCTCCGTGGGGTACTTCTGGGGCGTAAAGCTGTGGAGGGTGGAAAAGAATCCCTCACTATCTAGTGGTCCCCTGAACAGCATGGGTGGGAGCTGGGTGGCTCCAGTACAGGTGGAGTTTTTGCAATAAATACGGTAAACCGTTGTAATGTTTTTTTCTGTTCCCTGTGATTTTCTCAGGAATATTGTCTTTTCTCTAGCCTACTTGATTCTAGGAACACAGCACATAATGCATGAAACATACACAATGTGTGTTCGTTGACCGGTATGGTCTCAGGAAGTCCGCCAGTAAAGGTACGCTATTAGTGGTTAAGTGTGGGGTAGGGGAGTCAAAAACCGTACATGGATTTTCAATGGCACAGGGGTTCAGCAGCCCTAATCCTATGTTGTTCAAGGGTCAAATGTAATTGAAAGATCAGTATGTTGGTGGGTATTATGGAGGGCATGGATTGCATGGAGCACTGGGTGTGGTGCATAAACAATGAATTCTGAACACTGGAAAGAAATAAAATAAAATAAAATGTAAAATAAAAACAGTATGTTATTAGGAAGGCAGAATAGGAGGCTATTTCCATGAGGTTCATGCATTTCTGCTCTCTGTTGTCTGATTTCTGGTTGTCTGCTGGCAGGTAGCTTTTCGTCCAGTAGTCAATATTACCATTATTACGATATGGACAGTAGAGTTTTACAAGTAGAGCTAAAGGGTTTTTATGAACAGTCACCAGAAATACAAAGGCCTCAAAACCTGCCAACTTCTTGATTCCTTCCAAACACCTGCTTTTGTCAGATGCCCTCTCCATGCAAAAATGGTCGTAGTTAATGCCGTTGGGTCTGTGACTCTGCACTGGGCAATACTGGAAACTTTCTACACACCGTCTCATTTAGCCTTAGCAAAACCCGTACTGGGAAGGCCGAATTATCCCTATTTTAAGGATGCAAAAATTGGGGCCCAATGTCAAATAGAATTTGTCTTGCCTCAGTGTAAATACCTAGAAAGTAGCATCTCAAGGTGAATCCATCTGACTGATTCCGTATGTGTGGGGTCGGTAGAGGTAACTCACTTCCAGTTCTAGAAATGAGTTGCTGTGCAGAGATAAAATTCGATCAAAAGCCTGAGACTTAGAAACCAGATGGCAGATTTCGTTTCTGTGCTTTGATGCACCTGGGTTTGTAAAGTGCACTTCTCAGGACCTCAATGTCCTCCTCTGCCAGGGTCGAGACGGCCTCGACTGTCTCTAGAGCACGTGACACTCCATGATTTGGAGTGCCATTTGGTTTCATCGTTTTTCCTCTATAAGCTCTGTGCGTTGGGAATACTTCATCTGCCCATCTCATAGAGATAATAAAGGCAATTTGATGGGGGAGGGGTTAGCGGACACTAACTTCCCACTTGTTAAGCATTGTCACTGAGAATGGAATGCTATCCTGCAGGAAAGCAGAAAATAATTAATAGGCAAGTTGCGAGATCATCTGGTTTTCATCTGGTTTTCTCCTTCATAGTCTATCTGCTCCTTTGCAAAGGTCTGATTGAGAGGAAATGGATCATTCTTAACATCACAGGTGAACACGGAGATCAAAGTCTTACTTTGGTTTGTGTGGAGAATCGTCACTCCATTTTTGACAGGTAACGCCATCCTTCGTTTTGGACATCGTCCCCCTGTAGGTCTTCCCATTTCCAGTCTTGCACTCTGAAAGATAGACTGAAGGGGGGATCCACCCAGTGGGTAAGCCCTCCCCAAGAAACACCACGAAGCAGCTTTGCACTGCTCAGTTATGTTGAAAGGACTCGCACAGGAGACACCATTTTCCCAGTCTCCTTAAAGACAGTCTTCTGCCTCTCCCATCTGAGGTAGGGCTGCGGTTCACTGAGCTACTGAGGCTATTATTTATTTATTCAAAGCTACAGCCCTTCTGTGTACCAGGTACTGTGCTGGGTGCTGGAGACACATGGAGACTAGAACGGAGGCCCTATCCTCAAGGAGCTTATATTCTAGTGGACTCAGAGGGGCTGGCAGGTCACCCGGTATGATACGAGGTAACCTCAGAGTGACGTACCTAACAGAGAAAACAAACAATATGAGGATGGAGTGAAGGGGAATGGGGACAGGGGCTTTTCAGCAGGCTTTTCAGAGGTGGAAAGAAATCCAAGCCATGTCTATTTTTTGAGGCTTCCAGTATTTTAAATATGAATAACTGCTGAACAGAGTTACACACTTTAAATGTGGACAGTTGACATGCTCAACTAGCCTCCACTTAGCCAACTCACTGGTTAGCCAAGGGGCTCCAACCTATTTTTAAAATACACGGTCTGATGGTCACCTGTGTCCCACATGTGGTAAGGTGGACACCCGGGGCTGGCAGGTCGCACTTTCCAGTGTGCCCCCCAACTTCTGTCCCCACCAGGCGGGGTTTATGTTTATAAGAGTCAACTATTTTCATCGTCAAAACTTTGTATACAGCTACAGTAGATTAAAGATGATCTAAACTGAGAAATGAATGTGAAAAAAATTGCTTTAAAAAACAAAACCAAGGTGAATGTTCTTAAGGACTTGAAGACTTGAATAGTGTTTTAAAAGGCTGTCAAGTCCATTGAAGTTAATCCAGTTATACAGCTGGCTATAGAATTTTGGGTGGGAAATCCTAAAAATACAAAGAGATTTTTACAGTCAGATTAATAGTTGTTTATAGACCTTGCTCTGCTTCAAAAAGAAGGAAACCAATTCTAGACAACGCACACAGAGCATTGCTGATGCAAGGAATGCCCCAGAAAACAGCTGTTGGTGGCCCCATATTCAAAGGGGCCAATGTAAATTGCATTTCCTATGAGAACATAAAACATTTAAGGTATATGTGTGTCATCTTTCAAGATTTCCCACCTTAGTCAAGTGTTTTAATTCATCGATCAATTACCTGGGGAGCCGCCTTCTAACATACCAATAGCAAACAAATGCTTTTAACCCTAGACTATGTATAAAGACTGCAAATGTGTCTTCACTGAGACCGATCATTCCACTAGACGCATTACACTGATAAGAAGCATAAATTCAAAGTACTTTGGAGGCCCAGGGGTGAGGGGAGGCTTTTCAAAGAAGGTGATGCTTGAGTTGAGACATGGGAGATGAGAACAGAAGAGGGGGCTTGGCAGAGGGTGTGTGTGCCTGAAATGTGGGAGGAACACACGCAACCCCAGTGTAGAGAAGCCTCGTGAACCCAGCAGATGGGGTGGGCTTAACCAACGCAGGCCCCGGTAGCGTTCAGTTAAGTATCTGGATTTTATTCTAAGAGCACAAGGAGTTGAAAGCAGGGCAGTTACGGCCCATTGGCTAACATGGCCCGGCCAGTGACGGTGACCACTGAGACCGCAGTGATGACAGCAATGGCCATGCAGGCCAGGGGCAGATGTAGATGGAGCTGACATGGAGCGTCCCCAGAAAAACGAGCAGTGGGTCGATGGGCCACAGAAAAGAAGCAAGCGCCACAGAGTGGCTGACTTTTGACTTTTTACCTCTCTTCTGTTTGTATGTACCCACCAGAGTTTACATAACCTTTTGATCCTTTCCTTCACCTTGAAAACAAGCAACTATCCGACTGTTCAAACTAAGCCCGGTGGTCACCCCCCTGTTCTTTCTGGTTAACAATTTACAAATGATTTATTCAAATGTTAGCATTTTGCAGGGAAAATCACACCAGCACCTCCCCCTTTTTCAATCCAGTAGGTAACCCTATATAACTCATTCTTTGCTCTTTGTAAAAATGAGTAACTTCGACAGATAAACTTTTGAGTTGCTCTGTGCTTGAATCTCAAGAATTGGGGATAAACTGTGATAGGAGGAGGATGGCAGGCACACAGTTAATTCAACCTCAGAAGTTGGATTTTAACATTGAAAATGTTAAAAAATGAAAGTAAGGATTTTGTCTATATCCAAATGTTACTGGAGGACTTAAGACACCTCAGTTTTTCTATTTCTGCAGGCTTCGGTCCAGAAGCTAGGGCCCTGGGACCATGGTCCCTGTAGCGAAAAACGCAAGATCCTGGGAACACTTAGATTCCCCTATCCTCAAAAATAAAATAAAATGCTATCATATTTTCGGGGCCCTAGAGGCAGATGTTACTTTGTCAGTCCAATCCCTTCCTTTTTAAACCAAGAAGAATGAAATCTGAAAGGTGAAGTGTATCCTCAACTTGACAGATGGGATTAGTGACCAAATCTCATCCTGAGTCTGAATTCCAAGGCAAGCCAGTGCACCTCCCTTCTCTGGTCTGATAAGCTATACAGACAAAAGAGGACCTGGGAGGAGAGGAGAAAGGGGAACCGAAGGGGGAAGGGTGGGGAGGAAAAGAAAGAGGACTGGTGGGGGGGGGAGGAGGAGAAAGAAAACACTGTACCCACTTTTCTTTTCGAATAAAACCACATCTCTCATCCTTAAGATTGCAGACGACTTGCTGTTTTCAGCCATGATCACACACTGTTGCTCTTTGCTGTGATACTGGAATGACCTGCAGAAGAAAATCAGGAAACCCCCCAAAAATGTTTTCTGCCATTTAAGGAAAGTAAACTTCTGTTAATAATTAAGAGACTCCAAAGATAACTGTATCTCTTGATGGGTCAAGGAGTTTGGAAGGGTTACTTCCGTTAAATTTGGCCCAGTCCAGGAAGTGATGGAAAATGATAGCCTGCATAGGTCATTCCTCGTTTCCTTCTACCTTCACCTTCTCCTCCACCAAATATTCTCTCTTTCTGTTTCAACTACTTTGCTCTTTCTTCACTTATGTGCTAGAATATTTGCTTTTGTGTTGAAAAGAAGCAACTCTGATTGCTCTGAACCCTTCTCCAAGATGGTCTATGTTGACTTCTGGTCTCCTAGAATTTCCCTTTCCTATAAAGTCCCCTTAACTTTAGCCTCTACACATCATCTCCTCTCCCTTCACCTCTCCCATCCCCGTGGTCCTGCTGTGAACATGCAGTCTGGCATTCAAAGCCATCCACGACTGTCTTTCCCAGCCCCAACTCCTCCATGAGCCCTTCTGTAGCTGATGTGGTCCACCGGGTCCTGTTCACAGGGCCACATGGCTCTCTGGGCCCAGAATGCCTCCAGCCTTGTCAGTACATGACACTCACCCTTCCAAGCCCTGCTCAGTGCCTCCCTCTCCGCAGGCCTTCTCCAGCCCTCTCAGCCCTCAGGAATTACTCTTTCCTCTAAATCTGTATAGAGCACATATGACTATGTCATTTACGGACACCTCACACCGCATGTGTTTTTTAAAATTTTTTACATTTTATCCAACTTCTGTGACAACACCATAAATACAAAGAGGCAAGCACTGGACCGTGCAACTACACAACGATCTGTCATATACGGACAGAGATCATATATGTCTGGTATGTTGGGTCACAGTATCTCTGCTTCTTTGTTCCTTAGGCTGGGACACCCAGTCACAAGGATCCTCATTAAATATTTACCGACAATGATGTCAAAAACCAGCGCTCAGAATGGCAGCTGGTGATGTCCTGTGTACGGATAACAGCCTTTGGGGGCATTTTTTCTGAAGGGGATGCGGATCAACTCTAACAACCCACTGTTCCTATGGCTTCCGATCCAGGGAGCAGACACGGATCCCCAACTCCAATCCCGTGAAATGCCTTTCTTGCTTATTAAGTGCTGTTTTCATTAATAAATCCCCAGGCAAACTTCTCATTCCAAAGAGCAGCATCTCCAATGGCAACATTTCTGCCAGTGAGCAGCTCCGAGAGAATACCTGCAAATGAACTCGGTCTCCTCCTCACACTTCGCCGCACAGTCCTGTATGCTTCCCGCCCACAGCTGCTTCTTCGTGAAGCTGAGCACGGACGCCCCCTGCGTGTTCACGTAGTCATCCAGGGGGTCTCCGCGACCTGCGGACAGAGGATGGAGGAGGATAACTGGCTGAGACTCATCACCACCACTGTTCAGTCAGCAGGCCTTTGAAATCCTCTATCTGCTGTACATCCACCATATAAAATCTGCTGCTTTCCTAGAGAGCAGAACGGGTGTCACGAGTAAAATCGTTGAGTCAAGACAACAGTTCTGCTCAGAGGTGGGTGTTGTATTAAAAGGGCAAGTGGACTGACGGATTAACCGATTAGGATTATTTAACAACTTCTGTAACTATGTTCATGGCCATGAAACCTTAAATAAGAATAAATTTATTTGCTGTGGCTTGCCATGCCATGACAGAACAGTTAGAAGCCCACCAGCAGCCCCCGTGTTCGCCATTGCTGATGTTGATTTGTCCAGCCCTGGCTATAAACCCAACCTGGAGGCCATGACCCGACTGCCAACAGTATAAGCTTCGGTTGTGGACTGTTTCTTAAGCTGATGTGACATTCTCTGAATGGTTCCACCATGAGATATAAAAATGTTGGTGAGTTGCAGGCCTGGAGAGGGCGGCCTCCCTAATTTTAGTGTGGAACCCTAGTGACTGTCCCAGGGTGAGAGGCCAGAAGAGGTTAATGAAGACAGCCAAGCTGCCTAAAGTTTGCCTAAATGGGATTAGGCAACATGGCAGCCTTGACCACTGCAGGGGAGTGGTGCGGACCCAAGCCAGGCTGAGCGAGTTGGAGAGTGACCAGGGGAAGCCGGTGGAGCCACATGAGAAGACAAGCCTTAAGGGGCCTAGCTGGGAAAGGAGCTCTTCCCAGACGGCATGTGCAGTCAAGGAATTTTTTTTTTTTTTAAGATGAGACATTTGGGAGCATGTTTAGATACTGATGAAAATTATCCAGTAGGAAGGATCATTAGGGGTCAGCACCTCATTCACAGAAATGCCCGTCCTGCCCACCTGGAAACACATGGGGCACAGGGCCGATGCAGAGACTAGTCCTCTCCAGGAGGCCACGCTCCCTTCCCCCTGCTATCTGTCCTCCCCCAGTTAAACATACTCCAAACCAGAAGGTGCCTCTTTAACAGGAAGTTGGCTGCTGTAACTTAAATTTAAGGCACCAGAAAGCACTAGAAAAAGGTTTCAAAAGATTATGGAGAAGTAGAGGTTGTAGACCCAGGTCCATGCCTCCATCCCGTATTTCCCCCCATTTGAACTCTCATTTCCAAGAAAAGGTATACTTGGGTAAATTCTATATAGATCAGGATGTGATTTAAGAAAAAAAACAAATACGTCGGGGGCAGGGGCGGTGCATCTCGGTGGCTCAGTGGATTAAAATGTCTGCCTTTGGCTCAGGGCCGACAGGACTGAGCTGAGTGGGGCTCCCTGCTCAGCGGGGAGTCGGCTTCTCCCTCTCCCTTTACCCCTCCCTTGCTTGTGCTCTCTGTCAAATACATACATACATACACACAAACATACATACAATCTTAAAAAACAATAGCAAACAGTAACTCTGGAAAATATATCCTACAAAGACTTAAATTAGACTTTCCAAAGAGTTCTTAGAAAGTTGAGGAGGCTAGGGTAGAAATGATACCAAGGCAAGAAGATTTCCATTTATATCCCCCTTTAATTAAGCTTCCTTTGATTATGTTATTATATTTCACAGCGAAAAGCTGCTGAGACCACCTTAGGAGCTGATATCCCAAAGAAATATCCCCAAAGAGAATACATTTTTTTGTTTGGTGCTTGAAAAGTTCTCCCGCATTATTTTCTTTTCTTCAGCTTGAGGGCTCCGTGACAGTGGAGTGTCCTACAGTGTATTGATTGACCAAGAAATAGTAAACATATCGTTTTGGTAAGAAATTATTTTTAGGGCACCTGGGTAACTCAGTCAGTTATCTGCCTTTGGCTTAGGTCATGATCCTGGGGTCCTGGGATCAAGCCCCACATTGGGCTCCCTGCTCAGCAGGGAGTCTACTCCTCCCCCTCCCCCACCCAGCTAAGGTTTTTTTTCCCCCTCTTTCTCAAATAAATAAATAAAGCCTTTAAAAACGAAAAGTATTTTTATATTCGAGGCCCAACGTAGATGTATGTAGCTACCAAAGCACATGTATTACATTAATAATGTGGGTTTATTTATCACCATGGTGTGTACATTTACACCCACGATCATGCACTTGCCAAAAAAAAAAAAAAAGTCTTCGTGGTTTATGAAACTATGGAGAACAGCTGTAAAATGGTTTCTTTTTTTCCTTTCACCAGTCACGTCTGTGCCCTGGAAAGATGAAACTCGTCCACAGAAAGAGTAAATGCCTTCCTTTCAAAAAGAGCTTATAAAAGTCTCCCCCTTTGGCAAAAAAACTATGTTAATCCCGTAACAGAAGAGTCTGGTCTCCCATCCTGGTGTGAGCCACTGGGTCAGCTCACAGCATTCCGGATCCTGCTGTCCATAGGCTAACACACAGAGTACACACACCCGCGACCCTCCCCCCAACCATGGGCCTCCACTTCCCGCAGAAATCTCTGTGCAATCCTCCACTCTCTGTTTTCTTTGGTATTTCTTGAAATGGCTCTGCTGACTTCAAATATATTTAACTCTACTTTAAAGTACAGCTTACAAGATTTTATCTGGCAATTCATAAACTGAATTTCAGGTATCCATACGTTGCTTATGGGAAGGGTTACCAGCATGTATGATTCCATTCAGATGAAATGTCCAAAAGAGACAAATCAGAGACAGAAAGTATCCTGGCGACTGCCAGGAGCTAGGCGGGGATGCAGGATGTGGGAGGGGTGCAGCGTTTCTTTCCAGGGTAATGAAAATGTCCAGAATGTGTTGTGCTGATGATGGCACAACTCTGCACACCACGGCTACGTATGCTCAAAATGGGTGAACTGCATGTGAATTACATCGCCATAAAGCTGTCAGAACACCCCACAAAACTCTAAGGACATGTTTAGAGTATTTTAAAGAAGTTTAAACAAAATTGAAAAGGGAGAAGAGCACCAGATTCCTTCCAGAAAAGTTCTGGTTTAAATTCTGCTATCCTCACTGCCTGGATTTGGGAGTTTGGTCAGAAGAGAAGTAATCTAATTTTCCTAAGGATGGATTTTCTCCTCTTTAAAAGGGGGTAAAGATACTCACCTACCTACTGTACCAGCTGAATAAGCAAGTATTATCTAAGGACACACACTCACACACATATAAAAATGTGCCTAGCTTTTCTCAAGCACTACATGAAGGTTTCTGGAATTCCTAGATGCATACATCATTTGGCAATCGACGCGTGTGGTTTCTCCAGGCATAAGGAATAAACCTAGACATACGGAAGGCTCACGTCAAGCCTTAGCAGGCAGGGAACCTCCAGACACTGGCCAGAGAACGCAAAGAAATATTTCGCTGCTTTCATCTGAAAGTGAAGAGAATACGACATGCTAACGAAAATGGTCTCCGTTAACGGAACTGAGCACCAGGCAAGGGCGCCCCCAACTTTTTGGGTTGCCATCTCTGCAGGCTACTGTTTCAACTACAACAGTCTCTGGCAGGCAATCTTGTCGATTTAAAAGGTCATTCATCATTTCCCCTGCCCACTGGTCTTTATCACACATGAGGAAATTAAGCTCAGTTCTTAAGTAATTTTTCTTTTTTTCTTAATGTTCAATGTTTCTTATAAGAGTTTATTTATTTATTTGAGAGACAGTGAGAGGGAGAGAGAAAGAGAGAGAGAGGGCATGAGCAGGGAGAAGGAGCAGAAGGAGAGGGAGAAGCAGGCTCCCCGCTGAGCAGGGAGCCTGATGTGGGACTCTGAGCCAAAGGCAGATGCTTAACTGACTGAGCCACCCAGGCACCCCCTTAAGATTTTTCAACCATACATGTAGATTTTGATTTGGGACGCTCGTGAATCAAAAGCTAATTTAAACCAGCTGCACAGAAAGCCATCATGTTATCTATTTTTAAGACATTGCTAGGAAAAACATTTTAATTAAAATTTTTAAAAAATCCTTTGTCTTACCTGATTTCAGAAATAAAAGAAGTAGAAGCAGCACTTCCTTATGTTCCATTTTGGGACTAGCCAGCGGTGCCCAGAAAACTCAACGTCCCAGTCCCGAGATGTTATTGACTTACCTGAGAGAAAACACATCCACAAATAAGATAATCACAGGGAGTTAATTATTTTCTGAGACGCTCATTGCCAGTGCACTCTAAAGGGTTCAAACATTACCTTGGCCGGCGGATCTTACAAAATCCCCATCTGTAATAGATGCTGGGAAGTGGTGAAAGCAGGCCCACCCCTCACTGCCCCAGGCTGCCTGCTTTCTTTCCCCTGGTTCTTTCCATCATCTTCTGATCGCCACTTTCCATCATCCTTAGATAGCCACTTTTCTTTCTCCGTCTGGTTTCCTTCCTCTCCTTCTTCCCCGGCTTTAGGTAGAAAGGAAAAACAGAAAGAAAAATCACACTAATAGCCAAACTTTGCTGAGAACTTGTCATTCCACAAGCAATATTAATATTTCCACTTTCATGAGAGGACTCGGTCTTAAAAAGTTCAACTGTCAAGGTTACTCAGCCACCAATGGTTGACACCCTGTAGGCCTTAGATTATAAGCATAAGCTAGGGCCTTGTCGTTCACATCCCCACATCCTACCAAACAACGTAGAGATTACTAGAAAGTTTAAATACTTTATTATTATCAAAATGTCTTTGTGTCCAGTGGACTCACATGTTTTCCATAATTATAAATTATGTTGTAAAAATATTGGTCTTTTCCCCAAATAAATTCACAGTGTGTTACATTCTCACCCTCAGGAAATAAAGCAAGAGGGGCAAAATTGGGTTTGAAGAGTCTGTGTGAAGTTTAATTGTTGGTTCTGTACTTTTCCCCTGACTCAAGGCCACAATCACCAGGTTATTACACACTTGGAAACTATTTTAGGGTTCAAAAATATTCAGGAGCAGTTCAGTGGATTCTATTTTACTTGTGAAATAAGAACAAGAAACACTCCTCTCTCTAGGCTATGAAATTTCTTTCTATAAATTAACTAGCAAAGTGTAGAGGTCAGCACCAAGCCTCCAACATAATTTCCTGGGATGAAAGGCACTGTGCAGAATTCTCAAGAGCAAATTCTCTTCTCAGAGAACGAGACGGTGGCCTATTGTGAGCAGCAGGGATGAGTTAATCACATTTCCTGGTTTTCTACTGATCCTAGGTTTCTTCTCTCCTCAAAGTCTCCTCCCTCAACTCTCCCTGTCCCCAGTGGCCTGGTGTACTATAGGGGACACAGTGTAGAAGCAAGTTGAGGAGTCAAAACTGAGAAGACTCTTTTTCTTAAAATATTCAAAAGGTCTTTTAGGGGGATTATGTTGATGTTTGAGAAAGTTCTTTGGGGGGAAAAAACCAGATTTTACCAATACATGATGCTTTCCATATGTATTTATTTCTATTTAAAATATTTTATTAGTGGGGAACGTGGGTGGCACAGATGGTTAAGCATTCAACTCTAGATCTCTGCTCAGGTCTTGATCTCACAGTTGGGGAGCATACTTAAAAATTAATTAATTAATTAATTAATTAAATGGTAAAATATTTTGGTCCTGCCTCATGCATGAAGCATCTCAGGAAGAGTGTGATCAGAAATTCTATATCCATGCAATGTTTCTTTTCCTGTTTTATTGCTTTATTTGGGTGGTGGTGGTAGGCATTTTGCCCCCTTTCCTCCCTGAAGCTTTTAGGACGATTTGATTCTGCAAAGGTTATCTTGGGAATCAGGTTGCCCTGCTATGGCCTCGTGACTACACATTCTTCACTCTCTTTGTAATACATCGGCACCGTGAGAGCACAGAGAGACATGACGCAGAGTCAGGCGCATGTGCCAACAGATACTGTCGTGTGTAAGGGGAAGGGCCAGAGGAACGTATGGCACAAGTGTATACTGGAGTGGGGGCATGGAGACCTCCATTAGGGTTCCAGGGGCAGCGGGTAGGCATGAAGCAATGGACTATTCTAGATTGTTCACAGGAACCCACAACGGCACTCTTGGATGGATGTCGGGCCATGGCTTTGCCCAATGCTGTGAAGAGAATTCAAAGTAAGTCATTTTCCACTTGAAGCAGTGGCAAAAACTGAGGAAAGAACTAAAGAGAGATCATCTCTGTACAGTGTCAGCAGGTTGAACAGCTTTTGAGATGCGGGTTCTCACTGGGTTCTACTCATTGAGTACTTACTGACCACCTACTGTGTGTTGGAGTCTTTTGAGATTATATAAAAGGTAATAGCACAGTCTCTACCTAAGGAACTCCAGGAAACTTCTGGATCTAAGATTTCTGAAGGTGTCTCCTGAGCTCTGTAGTCAATAGTAAGGACATCAGGGTAAGATGGACGATAACGTTAACTTCCTTAGCTCCACCCAGCATGGGGCGGGCTGCCGAGACCCATTTGGGTTCCCTCAGGAAGGGAAGAATTAGCACCTTCCCTCCAGGTATTTAAATGGCGAGTTCCTTGCAAGTCCCTTAGAGGTAAGTTATGAACACCCTGCGAAGACCACCTCACCAGGAGAGTGAGGCAGAGGTCTCCCCTCCATACCACCTGCATCCACCTTGTCTGAAGGGGAAGCCATGACCAGGTTACAACTTCCCAGGTGACATGTTTTCACAATACGTGAACCTTATGTTGCTGGCCTAACTTTTGCACCTGTCACCTTTCTCTACTGACTGTCCCCTTTCCTCAGCCCCAGCAGAGTTCCTCCTAGCCCAGGCTTTCCCCTCCAGGACCTGTCATTCTAATACAGCTCATCCCTTTATTGTGACCATCTCTGAGTATCCCCAATAAGACCATGTATTTCAAAATGAAACTAGCCCCAAATTAATGAATCCATTAAGAGTTCAAACGAAGTCTACCTTCAGGGTTGCAAGGGTTCTAAGCAGTTTTTCTTTGCCCTTGACATCAGTTTGCAGACTGCCTTTACTGTGTGAATTTAGTAGGGAAGATCACCTTGGAAACATGGCCTCATTAATCTGACAGCGGAGTTCATTTCTGTATCTGACCTTTCTTTCAAATTTGTTAGCCTTTGTTCCTTAGTCTCTGGGACTGTGGAATGAGATCCTTATCAGCTCTCAGGCCTGCCAGTAAAGAGACAGCGGGGCTGCTCAGTTAGCACAGGGGTTAAACTGTAACCGGTTCGGGCGTACTTTCTAAGTAAGACCTGACTCACTCATTCAGTGTTAAGCAAGGTGTTATTTTCTTAATTGAGTTGTGCTTGCAGAAATCAAGATGCTTATTCATTTTTGAAAAACAAATGAGTCTTTATCAGATGCAGAAAAGAAAATAGTAACTCTCAGATCATTTTCCACCCCACACTGAGTCGGCACTAGGACTCCCCAGAGACTCAGGCAAGCGTCCTTTCCTCTCTGAGGTCCAGATTCACTACAGATCAGACGGAGAGAGAAACCATCTTTCCATCTTCAACATTCATTGTTGTCTAAGTGAATCGCCACAAAAGTCTTCTTTTATAGTCCTTGCAAGGAACAAGACCTGTAGAAAACATCAAAATATTTTAAGAAAAAATGAGTATATATAAAAACAGGTGAAATCTGAGCAAGGTCTGTGGACGAGTTCATTACACTGTACAGATAGCAGTTTCCTGGTATTGATAATGAACTTTGGCTCTGTTACGTTTTTACCTTTGGAGGAGCTGGGTGATGGGTAATGGGGATACCAAACCTCTTAGCATTGTTCTTGTAACTTCTTATGTGTTTATAATTATTTCAAAATAAAAAATAAAACTATATATCTGTATATGCATATATGTATATATTAGTATATATGTTGATATATTTGTATATATATGTATATATTTTGCATGGACATATATATACTTGTCTATACGTGTACATATTTGGATGCCCATGCATACATATTTTGGTATGTATATATTTGGATATATGTGTATATATTTGGACATACATATATATATTTAAGAGAACTCAGGATGATGTAGATGCTTCCATGATATTAGAAAGTACTCCTGAAATATAGAAACTTGTCCAGGGAGAATCTAATGCTTTAGAGTTTCTAAATAAGAGTGCAGAGCTCAACCTCTGGCTGATTTCTGTGGTGGGGGGAAGCCTGAGTGGGATGGGAAAGGCCCCCTCCACCACCTTCACTACCCCCTCCTCCAAGGTCAGACAGTTATTATGGCCTGGCTGAGCTCCGGGGCTGCAGCAGCCCTCCCTGCCTGTGGGTTTCAATGGCAGAGGCTGGAGGAGTCTAGCCTCACAGGTGCTCAAGGGACTGCTGCCATCTCTGCACACAAGTAAACCACCACCCAAACAGAGTGGACCCCACATAATGACACCTCTGTCGTCTCTCTCTCAGTCCCCCAACTTCACAGTCCGGCAGAGGCGAGGCGTGAGAAGGTCCTCAAGTGAAGCCTGAGGTTGGGGCGGAGGGTTTGGTTTCCACGAAAAGGGAAGTTGCTCTGTGCAATCCTCCTGGGCAGAAGCCTTTCCAGTGTCCGCAGTGTTTAACACTGTGCTGAGAGCAGGGCCAACGACGGAAGGAGACAAGAGCCCCACTGTCAGGGAGTTGTCCACTTAATGCACATGGGGCCAATGTGCAGCTATAAGTTGGATCGTGGAGCAGTGTGGTGAGTGCTCAGACCCGCTGAGGTCCAGTTTCCCTGGAGCAGGCAGAGCAACGCCTTGCCTCGTCTTCAAGTGTGAGCTCACACTTCCCAGAGGGAGTGTCATCCAGGACAAGTAGGAGGGATGAGAAGAGAGGAGAAGGAATAAATGTGCCAAGTCCTAGAGGCAAGAAGTCCAGGCAGCTGAAAGTAATTTAGGCTGGAACGGGGAACTGGTGGCTAATTGAGTTGGGGTCCAATCCTGCTGGCCTCTTATACAGTGCAAGTGTTCCAGCAGACAGCTATAGGATTTATTTTATTTTATTATTTTAGTCACCATACGGAAATTCATTAGTTTTTGATGTAGTGTTCCATGATTCATTGTTTGTGTATAACACCCAGTGCTCCATGCAAATGTGCCCTCCTTAAAATACCCATCACTGGGCTCACCCAACCCCCTCCCCTCCAAAACCCTCAGTTTGTTTCCCGGAGTCTGTAGTCTGTCATGATTTGTCTCCCACTCCGATTCCCTCCCTTCATTTTTC